TTGCACACTTTTCAGTGTTTGACTGACTATTTCTTTTAAGTATCCAAATGTTCGTGGCCAACCATGGTGTTTGACACTTTTAGGTGTTCAACTTTACTGTTAAAAACTTCCTTGATTCAAATATCCAGTCAAGTACTTAAAATTGTGGACCATAGTGTTGCGCACCTGCATGTTCACGCCAGTTGCTCTGGAAACTCAAGTGTCGTACAGTATGACAGTTAAAACTGCAGTACCAATGGTGCTGCAGTTAAAACTGTAGTACCATTTGTGTACTACAGTTAAAACTGTAGTACCTTTTGTGTACTACAGTTATAGTGTAGGACACGACGAGTACTAGAGTCCTTTGTGTAGGACCCCCTGTGTCCGACAGTGAAAAGCGTCATTTGTACTATCGGACACAAGGGGCCCTGCACAAAGAACTGTAGTATCGTCGTGTTCTACACTTAAACCTGTAGTACACAAATGGTACTACAGTTTCAACTGCCGTGCATTGGTACTGCAGTTTAAACTTTCATACTGTACGACACTTCAGTTTCCAGAGTGAACACTTAATTAATCAGTGTGGAAAAGAGACATTGAGTACGATGGGAATAAATCCAAAAATCTGAGATGCGAAGACAAGCGCCTTTGGTCATGCTTCAATATTTGTCGTCACATAACAATTCGGTTGAACAGCGGGCTCTGATGCTGCTCCTGATTTTTTCCGCCGTTTCTAAGTAATTTTGTTACTCTCAGCTCGTTACTGACATTTGGCAAGTAGACAATGATTTCGTACATCAACAACTCACTGCAAAATGCTTGCAAAGAATTATGGGTTCGTATTGCAAACAATTTTCATTGCAGCTTGCAAAGAATTGGAAGCATTGTAACACGAACTAGTTCTTCGCTAGCTTGCAAACTATTTCTTTGCAATGCAAACACATAGTTTGCGAGGACTCTGACAGCTTGCAAAGAATTTCTTTGCAATACGAACTTATACTTTGCAATACAAAGCTCGCAAATTCTATGCAACGTTGCAAAGAATAAAGTATGCAAGCATTTTACAGTGCTCCCTAAGTAGGCCGGCAACGAGTTCACGACTTAAAGCGAGTTGCGCGTGAGTTGAGTACAAAGTTTTCAAAGATCCTTTTTTTCTCTGTTTTTCCCTAACAGCAGTAAAGGAAAAGCATTCGAAATTGCTTCTCACAGAAGATAACGAGGGCTATCTGGCCTCTTTCGTGTTTTCCGTAACGGAGGCTTTCGAGGGCACCGTGTATGCGTACGCTGCTCCCGTCGGCCCCTCCCCGGTAGTGGCCGACCTGACGTTCGCTGCAATGCGCGCCCAGAACATCCTGACGGACGTGCGCCTCAGGGCGGCCGGCGAGGAGTTCCCTGCCCACAGGCTGGTGCTGGCTGTGGCCAGCCCCGTGTTCCGCAGCATGTTCTCTGGCGGCTACAAAGAGGCTCAGGCGGAGATCATCGACATCGTCGACGTTGCGTCTGCGCCCGTATTCCTGGCGCTACTGGACTATGTGTACTGCGGGAGTCTGGGCGAGTTGAACGGATCTCTGGAAGTTGTTGACCTTCTCGAGCTAGCTGATCGCTTCCTCTTGGAGAACCTCAAGAAGATGTGCGTAGAGCTGCTGTTGAATGTCGGGGTCGGCGAGGCAGTCGTCGTCCTGCGTGCTGCGCACGAGTCGCCGCAAGTGCCTGAGGAAGTTTTGACCCGCGTCACGGGACTCGTCCTGGAGAATCTGCCTGCGCTGGCCCTCACCCAGGAGTGGGCTGACTTGGGCATGGCGCACCCTGGGGTAGTGAAAACCTTGAGAGCGTCGCATTCTTATATTTCTACCCTGCAGAAGAGTCTTGACCAGCGCTCACAACCCCGCTTGCACATTCCCAAGTTAAAAATGGAGAGGTTCAGCAAAAGGAAGTAACATTTTTCATAATTAGTAGGTTAGAACTAAATTCCAGACGTTCTTCCGTTAACCTTGAGACATGTGTTTCAATATTTGAAAGAAAATTAGAATTTTTTTATTCACTATGAACAAAAATTGGTGTTAGTATTGAGAACAAACATATCTCTCTTTTCTGTAATGTAGGGGAAAATTTTAGAAAATTGTTAGTGTTAAGTCTTTTGAAGTTTCAATAGATGTTTTCAAGCGAAATAAAAAAAGGTTCGATGAAAACTTTTTCCGACAAAACTGCATAACTTTCGGACAGATAAATTTGCGAAACTGAAACGTTTTACAGTTCAAACCAGGGCTCCGTAACTAGTTACACGAACGGATGTTAGTTACTGGACGCTACAAAAACACATGTCGAATTGAAAGTTAAAGTTATCGTTTCGGAAATATGTTCGATATTTATCATACATGCTGTGGGAAAAAGTTGGACAAGCCGATTAACTTATTTCTAATGGACTACAGTAAAAGTTACAAGGTATAACTTTAACTCTTTAAGTAGCGTTAAGGGCAGATAAGTAATAAGTTACGGAGCCCTGGTTCATACACTCATAACTCAACAGTGTACACTGCACACTGCATATGCAGTGTGCATGGCGTGCACACGTCAGGTACAGTGTGCATGGCATGCACACGTTATATACAGTGTGTATGGGCATGCACACTGTATCCACAGTGTGCATGGCATGCACACGTTTCCACTATTTCCTTCCACATGAATAACTTTGGAAAGTGGATGACATGTTCAGTTTCCTCGTGGAAAGAGCTTTCAAACGAGCTACCATGTGATAGGGTTCAAATCGACCTCTACCATACCTTGGTTAACGTTACCAAAATATCACAAAATTTGGTAGAGGTCACACTGATAACTCAACAGTGTGCATTGCACACTGCATACCGCATATGCAGTGTGCATGGGCATGCACACGTTTCCACTATTTCCTTTCACATGGATAACTTTGGAAAGTGGATGACATATACAGTTTCCTCGTGGAAACAGCTTTCAAACGAGCTACCATGTGATAGGGTTCAAATTGACCCCACCCACTTTCCAAAGTTATCCATGTGAAAGGAAAAAGTGGAAACGTGTGCATGCCATGCACACTGCAGATACAGTGTGCATGCCCATGCACACTGTATAAAACGTGTGCATGCCATCTACACTGTACCTGACGTGTGCACGCCATGCCCACTGCATATGCAGTGTGCAATGCACACTGTTGAGTTATCAGTGGGGCCTGCATGCGCAGGCGGTGGTACTGACGCAAGCGTCCCCTTATCTTTTTAAGTGCCGGTAGGTTGACGTCCGAGACGGTGAGCCTGCACCAAATCAAATAAACAATTACATTAAGGTTTGTTATTTTTGTTTATCGAATAAAGTGACGAGAGTTTTTAACATTTTCTCACCGGTAGGTGTTGGCAAAGCCAACAAGTGCACTGCACTGGTGAAAGATGTGACGTGTCACTTGAACCCAGCGGGTAAATTGCCCTCATTTGCAATTCCACACACTGTTAAAAGCCTGCGAAGTATTTTGCTCCTTTGTAACTACGAAGCATTTACTTCGCAATTACAACGTGATGCTTTGTAATTACGCAGTGACACTTTGCAATTGCAAAGCGATGCTTTGCAGCGTTTTCATTGCTTTGCAATTGCAAAGCATCACTTTGTTGGCTGAGCGATTAGCGAAGCCTATTACTCCGTCTG